TATTTAATCATATTTACCATTCTCTATTTTACAATTTAACATTGAGACATATTGCATCAAACATATTTATATATATTCTCCACATATTCTCCTATAAACTAATAAATTTTCTTAGGTTTATTTTATATTCGTGTATGCTCTTATTCTTCTATAAAAATATCATTTTTATCCACCTTTGCATTAATTTTCTATTTTAATTACCTTATTTTATTTTCCATCTTTGTTATTCTATAAGCACCTCCTGTTGAAATTCAGAATTCATTTAAATATAACATTTTCATTTTAAATCAAACTATTTTATATTCTTATTTCAAAACCAAGTATATTTTATTTCTTCTTTTCCTTATCTGTCCATAGATATTCCATTTCAAATTTAGTGTTGCCAAATTTAAAACTCTATATGTCATTTTAATTCTTTAGTTGCTTCTATTCCATGCAAAATCCATCAGCTTTCCTTCTTTTGTTCCCGCGCCATTTGTCTTCTTTTGTTCCTGCGCCAATGCTTCAATTTTAATAGTTCCGCTATAATTCTTCTTTCTTTCTACCAATAAAACTACCCGTAGACAGAATAGGAATCTCCAAAACAAAAAACCCTTGGTTATTTTCAAAGTAATCCAGAGTAAACAATAAATCACGTTGTTTCTTTTTCGAACAGAAGGTGACTCTCTGCAATCAACACTTTCCCTTAGTCACAGCAATCTCCATTTTGTTTCAATTATGTAGCCATCCGTTTGTCTCTCCTCTTTTAAATTTTAAAGGTGTTGAATCCCTATTTGTCCCCTTTTCCCCCTTCTCTTTTCCCCCTTCTCCAAACATCAAGTTAGTTCCAATTTAAAAAATTTCCCCCAATATTCAATGTTTAGGATAAATTCCTTAATGGGTCTTTACCTCCTGTAATTGCTTTATTAACTCTTCTTGCCCCACAAATCCACAGCCGCTGTTTAAGGCTAGGAGTCTTACTTATAAAAATCCATACTTTAACGTTGTTTCTCGCCTGGGTTGGTGTTACTCACCCGGCTTCAAAGCACATCATTTTTTTCTTCTTTCCTCCTGCACATTTCTTTTTTCGGTTTGTCTCAGCTTCGTGGCAGCTGCCATGGCTGCCACCTTCCACCGCCGACTCACAGAGGGTTCCCTCCGACCTCCGAGGAACTTGCCTGTTCCTCTCGGTCGTCCAAGGTGCCCCTCTTCTCCCCCCGTCCCTGCAAGACGGGTTCGGTCCGAAGACCCATAGACGGTGGTTTGGCAGCTGGGATTTTCACAGGACTCATCAGAGCCTGCTACTTCCCCGACTGTCTTGCCATAATGCCAAATCAGAAGTCAAGTCAGTGCTAATTTCTGATAACTGTCTGGACAGGTTCCCCCAGTCTTCTTGGAAAGATTTTTGAAAGTGATTTGCCACTGCCTGCTTCCTTGGGCTGAAAGAGAGTGACTGGCCCAAGATCACCCAGCTGGCTTTGTGCCCAAGGCAGCACTAGAACTTACTGTCTCCCAGCTTCTAGCCTGGTGCTTAACCACTAAACTAAACTGGGTCTCTTTTGGCTGAAGAATTCTTAGAGTTGAAGTCCACTCCTCTTTAATTGTTGAGGTTGAGAAACACCAGTGTAGAGCATTTGGAAGAGGTGCATCACAACAAATGTTTGTGTGAGCAAAATTACTCTTGCTAAAGGACTAAAGTAGCTGTGTTTACTGGACAGCTCATGCAGTGTTTTCCAAGCTGTCCTTGGTTGTGGGCTTCACAAGACAATTCTTGCATTGTTGCTGGTGAAGTGGCTGTGCATGCATACACACCAACAGATGTTTTGAACCTTTCAAAGGGCATGACTATTTTAATTATTTGAGGCGGGCTGTGTTGCATTAGTTAACACACATGGCAGAACACCTCTTTGTAATGTTTTGTACTGTATTAATCAATTTACAAGATAACTCACTGCATCACGTGCTCAGATGACCTCTGTGTCTATTTGATTTGCTAGGGAAGGTCAGATAATCTTTCAGGTAGAGCAGTGTTTCTCAATCTTGGCAACTTTAAGATGGGTGGACTTCAACACTCCAAATTCCCCTGCCCAAATGCTGGCTAAGGAATTATGGAAGTTAAGGCCCACCCATCTGAAAGTTGCCAAGATTGAGAAACACTGAGTTAGAAGAGGATGCCTTCAGATAAAGGACTGTACTTTTAATTCGGACAGACACAAAAACCTCCCAACCAGGGGTGAAATCCAGCAGGTTCTGACAGGTTTTGGAGAACCGGTAGCAGGAAGTTTGAGTAGTTCGGAGAACTGGTAGCAAAAATTTTAAGTAGTTCAGAGAACTGGGCAAATACCACCTCTGGCTGGCCCCAGAGTGGGGTGGGAATGGAGATTTTGCAATATCCTTCCCCCAGGAATGGAGAGGGAATGGGGATTTTGCAGTATCCTTCCCCTGGAGTGGGGTGGGAATGGAGATGTTGCAGTATCCTTCCCCTGCCACGCCCACAGAACTGGTAGTAAAAAAAATTTGGATTTCACCACTGCTCCCAACATACCCATTGGCATAATAACAGGTTATCCTGCATGACTACTATAATTCTATTTCTCAGCAGGTATGCAACAACAATGAATGAGCTTTTATCTATATGCACTGACAGGATCTCAGAAAATTATTAATTTCAAATATTAATTTTCTGTTACAAAAAGCTATCTTACATTTACTTTTGCTTTTTTGCATAGTCAGATTGCTGCCCAATTTTACCATAAAAAGGAGCAGAAAAACAACTACCATTCTTCACATAGGCTCCCTTTTTCACATAGGCTCTCTTTTTAATTAAACCTGGAAATCTGGAATTATTTTTTATCTATGCACAGAAGCTGCCTCCTTCTGTACGTTCTTCCCAAGCCCAAGGAAGGCAAAAGGAGACGTACTACCTGGAGGAATTATTTGTGTGAAGCAGAATCACAAAAACAATAATAAAGGGACAAAACTTAATAAATGTCTTTAAGGTGAGAAATAAGGGAGAAAAGGGAGAGCAGACAACATTAATTTACCACCATTACCACCATTTACCATTGATTTTAAAGCTGGCTTTTTATATTGCAAATATTAACCCTAACTAATCTAATTTTAAAGGAAATCTAATAAGTCCTCTATAAATGTTAACATCCTATACTGCAGTTTTTTCCATTTAATTGGTCAAAGTACTTGGAATACTAACAGCAAAACTCTTATGTTTACAATCTTTTCATTTCTCTGTTTTAAGCTGTCTGAAGGAGCCCCATGGCGAAATAGATGGCAAATAAATTTAACAAACCAATAAATAAATATTGAAAATTGGTGTCTTCCAAAGATTATAGATATAGAATAACTATCTGACAATTGAGCCTGGGGCCTTGCAATAATTCTTTCTCTGGCATTCGGCATTCTTATAAAAAGTCAAGAATCCCACTTACAAGCCCTTGTATTTGCAGTAAACTAATACTTCTAAAAAGGTTCTATAAAGACAAATAGTAGCTTCTACAAAGGAAAAGAGAGGGAGGGAGAGGGAGAGATCCTAGATTGATTTATTCCACTATTTTGAAAACAACTGCTTGCAGTCAATTTCTCATGTGGCTTGGTAGGCTGCATTTGGCCAATGTTTAGAAGCCATTTGGTCTGAACCCAAGTTCCTTGTTTCTTTCCTTGCCTGTTCCAATCTTAAAAATAATATCCTCAATGACTTACCTTCTATATAAAGGCTCAGCTACAATGTTTAGTGGCTAACAGCTTTCTGTACCTTATGAATCTCTCAGCCCCACCTCAAAGAGGATAAGTATGTCTTGCATTGAGAAAAGGTGATGGAAATGTATGACAGCACACTTCAAATATTTTACATTAAAGAAGTATCAATGTTTGTTTTCTGTTCTGTTCTGTTCTGAAATACAGGTCACAGAATAATAGATTTAAGATATAAAAAGTGAGATCCCAACTCATTAATTGCCAAAGCTTTATAATAGAAAGAACGTGGAATGAAGACAGTGGAATGAATTACTCAGAATGGTGAGGGGACCCCTTTCATTACATGTATTCAGAGATTAGGCAACCTTTTCTCTGGGAAAAAGCACAAGCTTGGTTAGGTTAATAATTTTAAACTGCTATCCTATCCTTATTTGGAAGGAAGCTTCACTGAACCCAATGGAACATTTCTGGGAAAAGATAACATTTGCAGGCTATAATCTTTCAAGAATGTCATGTTTCATATATTTGTATAATACAGCATATACCTCTTTTATTTCTACCACAATCCATAAGTCTCTTCCAGAAAATCAGATCCTCTGTTTTATACCAGATAGTTTTTTATCACAAATGAACAAAAGCTTATTTCTTTGCATTTTCTTGACATTATGTTATTTTAACTACAAGATATATTTTTATTAGATGATAGAGAAAAACTACAAGAAAAACAATTAGTGCATACAAAACTAAGAACCAAGTCACTCTTCACTGAAACCTTGCAACCAACCTGGTTCTTGCTAGGAGCTTACCACAATCTCGCTGAGTAAGGCCCACCTGATTCCACACAGAATTCTGTCATACTTTCTGGTCTAGAATTTGGAGCCGGAGGGCTGGGTTGGGTGGGGAGAAGTATTGGGCATTCTAAAATTCATCATTCTTGCAAGTATCGGTGATAAAGTTATTATTCATTTTAAATCATTTTTAAATGAGCAAATTTCCTATTTAGTTTAATACACTGCATAAACTATACAGCTTCTGCAAACTGATGCTTCGTAAATGTGTAAAATTTCCATTTCCATAATCTTGCACAATGACCATGTTAAGCATGGGTTTGTGGAGCCCAACAGATCTGGAAGATCATTAGACAGGAGACAGCTGAGCTCAGGTATGAATGCCAACCTCTGCAAAAACCTTAATGGATTGCCTATAATTATCTGTATTTTAAATATGAATGGAAATAAAAATCTTTTTTTCCATAAATAGTACATAAATAAAAGTTATCTAGCCTAAATGTATGTATATTCTATGATATTAAGATTGTGATTCAGTTCCACAAGATGGAGGGGAAAACATAAATTACCTTGATTCTGGTGTTTATCACAGTGGGTCTAGTAATCAGAAGTAAATTGCTCACAGTACTTGGTGTTTCTTCTGCCTCCCAAATTGCTAATGTCATGAACCTGTTACAGATTTATTTTTAGAAGTTATATTTACAAGATACAAAATATTTTTATAACTCAGTGTTTTTTTTAAAACTGTAAATCTTTAGATTAGATTAATTTTCTGAAATTATTTTATTAATTACTGTAATTCTTTAAAGATATATGTTAACATGCATACTGTATATATTTTTGACTATTTTAGAACTCTTGCTTAATTAACTTAAAAGATATAAAATAGCCATGAAATAGATAACATAAAATTTACAGTAATTCACTTCTAAGAAAGGTGATGCTGATTCATTGACATACATACATTTTTTTTCTCCTATATTTCAATGATTGTTTTAAGTGCTTAAATAGAAATAGCTCTAGTCTAGTCTGTTGAGTCTCAACTGTACCACAAGAGTTGTAATCAAAATTAATGGTTTTTGGATAATAATTATTAATCTCCTTGGACTTGCTATTGCCTTAAGTGGGCTATTTTAAATGATATTAGTTTTATTTTTCTATGAAACATATGTATTAACCTCCACTTATGAATAAATAGGCACAAATGTATCAACAGAAATTCTAAGATAAAGGTGTATAACCTTCAATGCATTTATCTACCATAATCTAAAGGTAATCATTTGTATTATTAGAGAATTTAGCACCAGGTGATAGTAGAATAGAAAACAAAGAATTGGAGAAAATTTCAAAGTATCAAGATCTAAAAATCAAAATGGGAAGATTATGGTACCAATGGTTATCGGCATACTGGGTGCCATAAAACAAAAATATATTATTAAAACTCTTGGATGGTAGATTGTGCATTGATAAATGTTCCATCTGCCAATTACAGAAACCAATGCTTGGATTTACACATATACTATGCCAATATATTATGACATCTTAGGTTCTTGGCAAGAACCTGATGCATATTAAGCCAACACCAACTAAAGAGAATTGGAAACTGTGACTTCACATTGCTGTGAGTTTACATTCTTCTGAATAGTTAATAATAATAATCCCCCAGTGAGCCACTACCTTGATATGGCTGTGAGCCTTGAATTCTCTGAGGAAGATGAGAGCTATGCCAGAGGTTCAACCATGCTGGACAGGTTTCAACAGAGTAAAACAAAGACTGTCTCTCCCATAAACAATACGGTGAGACGTAATTCAAAGAAACCTATACTGGATAGGTCATTTCCTGAGTCAGCAAGGACCACAATAGGTTTCTGCAGTTCCTGGACATCTGATGACAATTGAGTTATAGGACTTAGGATTGTTGTAACCAGGGCTGGGAGCTGTGGAATACTGGGAGAAAAGATTTCTACCTGTTGCAAATATACTAACATTGAAAACAAAAAAATAATTATTATCTGTTATTACAAATCAGGTCCAACAAGAATAGGATAGCTGAAAAGAATGCACCAGTTCTAGAAAAAGCAACATCTAGAATAAAAAATAACAGAGATTAGAAAATCCAAGGTTATTGAAAAATGCACATTGGAAGAATATCTGAAGAACAATGAAGATAATATACTGAAGCGAGTACACCATGAAGGATTAGTGAGTTCTGGAAAGACCAAATTGGCCTCAAGAAAGATCAAAGGAAGAAAAGAGACATGGTGAGGATAATACATAAAACAATAGAAGGCAAAACAAATAACAAGACTGACAATGGCTAAGAGCAGGAAAGTTGAAGGAGGAATCAGAGGGGCTAATTTTGGCTATAGAAGACCAAGTCTTAAAAACAAATGCATACAAAGCCAGAATTGAGAGGACAGCATCAGACAGCAAATGCTGCCTTTGCAAAGAAGCTAAAGAAAGTGGACCGCCTGGTTAACTGCTGCAAGAAGATTTCATAGACTGACTGCATCGTAAAGTAGCAACAAGGGTTCACTGGAATAGCTGCAAGAAATACCATTTTGCCTGCCAACAAAAACTAGTGGAACCACAAGATACAGAAAGTAATAGAAAATGAAGAGGCTAAAGTGCTCTGGGACTTTAAAATTCAAACAGACAGGCACCTGTCACATAACACCTCAGACTTATCAACTGTCAATAAGAAAGGGGGAAAAGGCTGAATAGTGGACGTGGCAGTACCTAGTGACAGCAGAATACAAGAGAAAGAACTGGAGAAAATCACAAAGTACACAGACCTACAGACAGAAGTAGAAACATCATTAAAGCAATTAATACCTGAGCAGTTTCTGTTATTCAATATGCAGCAGGAACAGTTGACTGGACCCAGGTGGAACTTGTTAACTTGGATCAGAAGACAACAAAATTAATGACAATGCACCATGCTTTGCACCCAAAATGTGGTATTGATTGGGTGTATTTGCCATGAACTGAAGATGGTAGATGACTCCTTCAGGTGAAACAAACTGTGGAAGAAGGAAAACATGGCTTGAGTTATTACATTAAGAAAAGTCAAGAATCCTTGCTAAAGGAAGTCAATCATGGAAAGCTCTTGAAAACAATGAAGGTGAAGTCTGAATATAGAAAAGAAACCATTGAGAACTGATTTGTTAATTGGAAGAACAAACTGATGCATGGTCAATAAAAGGAAAAGCTGATTAAACACCCACATGATATTGGTTAAAATCAGGAGGGTTAAAGAAAAAAATTGAAGGCTTTATTGTAATGGCTCAAGAACACGTTTTGCCAATTAATTGTGTGAAGGTAACAACAGCAAATGTGGAAAGGATGAAATAATTGACCATTTAATTGGTAGCTGAAGCAAAATTTCATTTCATAAACTGATTGCAAGCAGCATCACAACTACGTTTCCACAATTATTCATTGGAAACTTTGTCAGAGGTTTGGATTTGAATGTAGTAAAAACTACTGGGACCATCAAGTTGAGAAGGTTTTGGAAAATTAGCAAATTAAGCTCTTATGGGACTTTAAAATCAGAAGACAGGCATTTTGTTCACAGCATGCCCGATCCAACAGTTATGGGGGGGGGGGGAGTCTAGCTTCATTTATGGTCCTATATCAGGTAATGCTGGGATTGAGGAAAAAGAATTTTAAAAAATTACAAAATATCGGGACTTGCAGATCACAATTGAATGCTTATCAATTCTATTGATATATCTATTGTCATAGAGAAATCTATTGTTATAAAGAAATCTATTGTTATATCAATTGTAATTAGAGCCTTCAGACCGATCTCTAAAGGACTTCCTTGATGTCTGAAAATGCTGATTGATTAGACCTGAACATCTTAATGGTATTTTTTTAAAAATGACCTTGGTTGGATCTCTCTATATTCTTAGACACTATTTTAATAATTCTTAAGAATTAGGAGGTCCTAGGTTAGGATTTAAATAGATAAGTTTCCATCAGTCTTACATTGTGAATCTAATTGTAGATTACCCAGATATAATTTATTAAACTAATCTTAGGAAGCCTTCTATAAATCACGGCTTTCATTTATGTGTTGGATATCCCTCCTTCTTTTGAAGATGATGAGGATTATAATTCATCTAGAAGGCAATCACCATAGGGAAAGCTTATTTAACTATCTTATAAAGGCTGCACTGAGCTTCTTGAATGCTGTAAAACACAAACAAAGTATACCTTTTAATGTCTATTTATATATTTCAGTTTCTCATTTTACTTACAAAGTTATAATATTTAATAATTCTTATATAGAGCAATTGATCAAATATATCATAATAAATAACATTCAAATTCCTCAATGTCTTCAAAAATAATTGCTACATCTTTCAGGAAAGTGTTCATCAAAGGAATAAAAATAAATACATCTGTAGGCTTATAGTCTGAATCCACTAAATCACTTCTGAAACTAAAATAGGTCAGTATCATTAGTTAACCCACAGAGAAAGGGTTTATTATTCTTCTGAAATCAGGAGCTACATTTTGAATCAGAAAAATACTAGATATAAGGTCCCTTGTGGAAACCACCAATAATGATGAGGCAGAAAAAAATAAAATTATTTGACCTGTGCTTTTTGGAGGTATGGGTTATGGGTGGGAAAGGCATTTCAAGAATCATACTAAAATAATTGTAATACACAGGAAGACAGTTAAGTCTATGGAGTTTTCTTACTCAGTTGTGTTTTATTGAAAATACCCGAACAATACAAGAAAGTGTTTTGTATTAAAAATTAATGTAAATTATTTTACCCATCTGTGCTGAAGCAAATGTTTCATCAGTTCTGAAGTATCCCATTACTGATTTAAGGCAAACATGGAATCTAAGAGCTGCTGGGAAATAGTTGAACATGAATACTTTTTGGTTTTTTTTTTTTTAAAAAAACATTGCATTGAGAACACAGCCTATTTGAAAGAGATCCGCATAATGTGTGGAGAATTTTGTCTCTTTCAGGAAGTTGGAAAACGGAAATCTTAAGAGAGAGGAAGTATGGTACAATTACTATTTGTTGGATATTACTGTCCAATGGATGAGGGAATTCCAGATAAGATTAACATTATCACTCAGTCATAAAGCTCACTATGTCAGCCTTGATCTCTCAATCTACTTACCTTACAAAATTGTAAGATGGAAACTGAATAAGGAATGAAGAGCCAAGAACACAGATGTTAAAAGTTGCCGTGGCAAAACTGAATGAGACTGAAGAGCTTTGAAATTCCACAAGAAATGCTATTTAAATATGCCTTGAGATGTTTTAAGCAGATATTATCCAGCTGAGTGTCCAGCAAATTTGGATTATATAAAACCAGCAAGCCAGCAAATCTTCTGAAGGAAGATTTATTTATTTCTTCAGTTAGCATGAATGCCCACTCACCAACATCTCCTCAGTATGAAGAACCTTTTATCAGAAGAAAAAAGAAAACATAAAGAGCCACTTTTGAATTTTTAAATTGCAATGTACCAGGGGTGAAATCTAAATTTTTTTGCTACCGGTTCTGTGGGCGTGGCTTGGTGGCATGGCTTGGTGGTCATGTGACTGGGTGGGCGTGGCCAGTTTGACGTCATTCACATCACTCTGCTGTGCATGGGGCGCTTGGAGAGAGAGAGAGCAAGACAGCTGTCCAACCTCTGTTTTTGTGTGTGTGTGTGTGTGTGTGTGTGTGTGTGTGTGAGGGAGGGGGTGATCTGAAGCCGAGGCATCTAAACTTCTGGCAGTGGCAGGGCAGCTTCTGAGCAGCCAGCTCCACCTGACCTACTCCCTGAGTCTCGCCGTTCTCCTGCCCCCACCCCCCAGTTCAAGCAGCACCTTCCCTGCTCAGCCCCAACAAGCTATGCATCCATGGTGTCCGCACCAGCATCCCGAGAGAAGCAGAGAAGATCATCGCTTGCAAGCAGACAAGCAGAGGTAGCAAGCATACGCCGTGCTGTGGGAAAAATGAGAGGTCCTGTTGTCCTGCAGAGCCTGCCGCTGCTTGAGCTGGGGGGGGTCAGGAGAACGGCGAGACTCAGTGAGTAGGTCAGGTGGAGCTGGCTGCTCAGAAGCTGCCCCGCCGCTGCCAGAAGTTTGGGTGCCTCATCTTCAGATCGCTCCCTCCCTCACACACACACACACACACACACACACACACACACACACACACACAAACAGAGGTTGGAGAGCTCTCTTGCTCGCTCGCTCTCCAAGCGCCCCAATGCACAGCCCATTTGAGGAAAGGGCATGGATGGCTGGGTGCATTTGGCTGCAGAAGGAGGCGCAGCGCAATGGGGTTGTTTTGTTCACCGAGGTGGTACTTTGGGAAGGCAGGCGGATGTCTGCAGCTAACAACTATAATGAATATGTCCACCTGCCCTCCCGAAGCATCACCACGACGAACAAAACAACCCCATTGCTATGGATGCATAGCTCGTCGGGGCTGAGCAGGGAAGCCCTGCTTGAGTGGACTTCTGCTTGCCTGCCTTCGCAAGCTGGCCACCGGGACGCCAGGAAGGCAGGCAAGCAAGGCAGGCAAGCAAGGCAGGACTGCGGGCCGTGGATCGGTTCAGGGGCATGGCCGGCCAGCCAGCCATTGCTCCCGGTTTGGCGAACTAGCCTCAATCTCTGCTACCTACTTGCCCGAGCCGGTCTGAACCGGGAGCATTTCACCCCTGCAATGTACCAACAAAGGAGGCATGCAAGATCAGTGAAATAGGTTTTTTGCCTACCAAATCTAGCAAGTAATCTTCTGACATATAAAAAAAAATGTGATAAAATAATGGAAAAGAAATTATTGTGAAAGATTTGTATATGTTTTCTCCTATACAAGATAGATTACTGTTACGTGATTTAAGAGGAATTTTTTAATTTGAAATATTTTCATCAGTTGTGATATTAACTGAATACAATAAAAGAGTAAAACAGGGTCAGAGATATTGAGTCATATCAGGGAATAGATATAATCTACCAGTTTGACATGATGGATACTATGAGTATAGTTTGTAAATATATTAAGATATAGTTTGATGATTGAAAAATTAAAAATGACATATTTGTATCAGACAGGTAATACTAACAATTTTTCTGGCAGTTATTTCATTCTGGTCCTTCAATAGTTGAAAATGGAAGGAAGGAATTTTAAATCCTTAGAAAATATTGACTGATTAGAAATTGTAGGTGAGTGGTGAGTATACACTATAATTTGTGAACATGTATGTGTAGAAATAGTTTGGCGTAGTGGTTAAGGCATCAGTTCTAGTTCTGCTTTAGGTGCAAAGATAGTTGAACAATTTGGGGCCCGTCATTTTTTCTCAGCCCTAGGAAGAAGGCAATGGCAAGTCACTTCTGAAAAATGCTGCCAAGAAAACTGCAAGGAGTGATTACCTGGAGAAAAAGTAACTTAAAGGTACACATTTCACGGATGTCTGTGATATACAATTATATTTTCTACTACTATACTTTAACTAAAAAAACATAAATATTTTAATATGTTGTTTTTACATGTACTTGCATTTTACTTGCATGGATACTTGTTTCTGGTCACAAATTAGAGGAACATTGTTGGCTACTATAATATTTCTTCTGCCTAGAATATGTAGCAGCAAACATTATTTGTCTAGATATAACTTTAAAAATATGGTGCCATCAGCTGAATAGACTACCTGTAGTCATTCAGTCTGTTATGATTGCAGTTAATGATATATTTTAACACAAATAATTTTCTTGCAGTTCTAGACAATTTAGGATAATTATACAGTGTATGTGTGATAGACACTGTAGAATATATAATTTTTAAAAAATCAAATAATTGATTTATATTTTTTAAAATTATCATTTGTTGCAGTGTTTTTTAATAAATTGTAACATATTGACCTTGAGTGTATTCATCTGTTAATACATTAATGTATTTCTTACATATTAGAGAAGAATGTCAGGATGGTAGCATAGTTTAATTCTGAACATTGATAGGATATGGCTTACAAGCATTACACCTTACATGGTGCAATTTCTAATATTTTTAATGTAAAATAATATTGTGGTTTTACTATTTAGTATTCTAGCAAATAAGAGGATAATGCATCCCATTAAGTACAATGCCATCTGCTGTGACTGGGTTAATCTGACAAAAATGCTGAGATGGGTAAGAGGTACACCACTGTAAATGGTTAGAATTGGAGTGTGAAAATGTCAATTTTTCATTCATTGATTCAATTTACAAATTAAGAAATAAAAGTGTTTCATCACATAAATAAATTAGCCTAAGTTACATCAAAATAAGTCTGTTTCAATAAGTATCGGAAGGAATTAACAATATGAACAAGTGCATGGTATATTTTTAGGTGGCTCTGAATTTAAAGGCTTTTACCATGGCATTCCTGGAATTATATTATACAGTATATAAATAACTGAAATTGAGTCATACATTTCCTGTAGGTAACCAAACCAATGTATTTCTATCAGTTTCTTGACAGTTACAATGGGCTTTTATAATAAAATGAAACTTGTTGCGTTAGTTAAGCTTGTGTGAATTTGCATGTGTAGTTTTATATTTATTAACTTCCATTAATATTAATTTTATTTATTTATTTATTTATTTTCAATTTATATACCGCCCTTCTCCCTGAGGACTCAGGGCGGTGCACAGCCAGAATTAAAAACATGAAATACAAATATTAAAAACAATTAAAATCTATATAAATTTGGCCCAAAATTTAAAAAACCACAAACCAATTAAACATTTAAAAATTTTAAAAAATTTCTTCCTAAGCCAGCCCAGCTTGCTGGAAAAAGTGGGTTTTAAGGGCACGGCGGAAGGCACTGAGGTCTTGGATTTTCCTTATCTCTTGGGGCAGCTGATTCCAGAGGGTAGGTGCCCCCACAGAGAAGGCTCTCCCCCTGGGGGTCACCAGCCTACATTGTTTGGCTGATGGCACCCTGAGGAGGCCCTCTCTGTGGGAGCGCACGGGTCGCTGGGAGGTCGTCGGTAGCAGCAGGCGGTCTCGAAGATAGCTAGGCCCTATGCCATGGAGCGCTTTAAAGGTGATAACCAACACCTTGAAGTGCACCTGGAAGACCACCGGGAGCCAGTGCAGCTCGGGCAGGAGCGGTGTTACATGGGAGCGCCATGCTGCTCCCATCACTACCCGCGCTGCTGCGTTCTGGACCAGCTGGAGCCTCCGGGTGCCCCTCAAGGGGAGCCCCATGTAGAGAGCATTGCAGTAGTCAAGGCGAGAGGTGACGCGGGCGTGAGTGACTGTGCACAGGGAATCCCGATCAAGAAAGGGCCGCAACTGGCGAATCAGGCGAACCTGATAAAAGGTCCCCCTGGTTACAGCTGTCAGATGTTCCTCCAAGGACAGCTGCATATCCAGGAGGACTCCCAGATTGCGAGCCCTTTCTGTGGGGGCCAAGGACTCGCCCCCAATAGTCAGTGATGGAGTCAACTGACTATATCGGGATGCCGGGAGCCACAGCCACTCAGTCTTGGAAGGGTTGAGCTTGAGCCTGTTCCTCCCCATCCAGATCCGCACAGCCTCCAGGCACTGAGACATCACTTCAAGGGCATCGTTAAATTACATTTATTGTTCCCAAATAAGACTCCTTTTTAAAAAAAAGTTTTGAGAATCTGTAAGAAAATAAAATAAAAACAATAAACTTGAAATGTTTCACTACATTCTAAGAATATTTTATAAAATTTTGCTCAATAATTTTCAAAATAGTCCTAACAAGTGTAACTAATAAGTAAGTATGAATCAAAACTACAAAGTTACATATTAATTTACTGGACAGTACACTCTAGTTCTATATATAAAGTTAAGTAAAATAATCAGCATTAAACATTTAGTACCAGACGCAACCGAATACTATAGTGTCACTTACATATTTATTTTTGGTCTTAAGCATCATTGATTCTGTTAGTCTAAATCTTAAAGTGCCTTTTCTTTCATTTGTCCAATCCATATCCTGTTGGCTGGGCTTTTATGTCATCATTGTAATTGTCAAATAGTACTCAGATTTGTAAAACTTAATAATGGAATAACTATACAAATATAACTACATAATCAATGATGTTTTTCAGCTGTTTGCCATCATTCTCAAATTATACATCAGTTCTGATATGTATCAATTGACCTTAGCAATAGAGTATTTTCATATGATGAGTCTTGATGACGGCTATGGCCTATATTTTTATACCACTTCTTCTATTTCATTTTTCCTCATTTTCAAATAGCACTCATGTAATCATATTTGAAATATTATTTAAAATGCAAAGCTCATGCTTTCTGTTCACATTAACTTACACTTAATTAACCTTAAGTTCTATAATCAAACATATATGTATTTAAATTGTGTTCTAATTTTGTTGTTCAGAAACTCTGAATTTATTTAATCCTGTCCCATTTTAAACCCCTTTCCCACCAATTCTTTTTGGGTTTGCCATCAAACCCAAACCATTTTTGCTCTTCATCTTCTTATCTGTACTTTCTGAAAGTATGAAATGGTTAGTTCTGCTACTTCCAAAGAGGTGCTATGCAACACAATGATAATTTTCACAATATGAATGTTTCCACATATTAGTCCAGCTACGCTAATGGGCTTGTTGATATAATGCATTTAGTAATATATTGATGAGCAGTAAATATATTAGCAAGACAAAAATGTAGATGGCAATACATCCATATGCCAGTCGCAAGCCTGAGTAAATAGGGAAGGCTGGGGAAAGACTAATGATGTACTTCAATATTAGCATCAAATCTTTATTGGAAAAGTTCCAATAAATATGCTACCTGAAAGTGTAACATCTCCCCACCACCCCACTCCTGGGTTAGAAGGTATCAAATATATTACTAGGAAAGAGCTAAAATGAGTTATGAGTAGTCTAGGAAATTATGATGAAGAAAAGGAACTGGAATGCTGAAATGTTGATAAAGTTATGACGAAAGAAACACTCATGGGCTTCATCAGCATTTTCCAAGGTCATGAATACAAAAGGCCATTTCAAAATATCAATAGCTTTGTCCACATTAAAATCAATATCAGTGGCACTCAGAATATATTTGATACTTCCCCTTGTATATATCTTTGGGACAAATCTTGTCAATCAGGGTGTGTTATGTCATCTGAAAGAATATTAAATCACTTTACAAGAATTGTTATAAAAAACTTAGGTATGTTTAATAAGCAAATAGGCCTACAGGACCTGAGTTGGGTCATTCCCTTACTAATAGTAAAAAGTTTTACCTTTTTAAAACATATCTTCTCAGCAAAAGCTTCTTGTAATTCACCTTCTTCAAAGCCTCAAGTCTAGTTAATTATGAATCACCTTAAAAGTTTGTTCTATGTTCAACAGCGGATTCTGCTTGTTTCTCGATTCCAGTTGCTTCAAGCCATTCAACAATATGTATTTCAATTTTTGAATGACTTTCTTTTTATTCAGTGCCAGGAAAAAAAACTTCATAAAAGCTTTACTGGATTCTCATGTGATGAATAAAGAAACATAGGGAACTGAACTACTTTGAAAGAAGCTCTAATTTAAATTGGCATATCAGTCTTATATCTTCTTTTAATAAAAATAAGCCATTCAATTTCCATCATTTCAAGACAATGATTCTTCTTGCAATTTCAAGATCACTGTTTATAGTCTGCATAAATGAGCGTTGTAAATTCCACAATTGTAAGTTTATTTAAGAGTGGTTTAAACATCCAGCATTTATCTCTTGAATAATTTTTTTGAAAAGAAGAAAAATAAATGTATTTTTTCTCTACAGGGTATTTATTCCTCCATGCATCTGAAAAAGAAAGCATAATAAGTAATCTACTACATTTTGGGCAGTATGCCAGAGCTCTTTATATGAATCAGGATTTACTAAGATTTTGTGAAAGAACCCCATTCATGTCTCTATGAATCATGTTTTTCATAATATTTTCTTTTTATTTGGAACATAAAATGAAACAAATGTAATTTTTCTCATTTCATTTGAAATTGTAGTAATAAAAAATTCTGTTTCCGAATGTTTTTTCCAACTTCCAGAAGCCAGTTTGTTTTACCTAAATGCCTTTATTATAACAAATTAACATTGTTTATAAATATAAGCTCTTAAAAATGCATTTTCTTCTTTAGTTTCAAAAATATTGTTAATTCCCTTTTAAATGAGTTATTCGGTTTATTAATATTATCAGTAACATGCATTAAGCTAACTGCCATGAACTTTTCTTTAGCTTGTTAAAACCTGACATTATATTGGACATTTTCCAGTCCCTTCATATAAAGAGTGATCTTAGGGTATCTAACCTATTTTTATTTGAAGATTTAAAACATTTCATATTGAAGAATTCTTGGATAAATATGTGAATATTGTGATTTGTTTATCTCAAGTTTATCAATAAGCCCTAGAAATTCATTTCTTTTCACCTGTTCAGTTCCGCATGCTTCTTCCTCAAAATTCATTTTATTTACTCACTTTCTTTATACGCTTCTTTGTATAAATGTTCAAGTGTCAGTTTAGGTATGAGACCTAATACGAACTCTCACAAGGGAAAGGAAGAATTCTTATGGGTGCCCTTCAGTGATATTTATTCTTCCACAGGACTGTGTGGACCGATGATAATACACTACAGCTAAACTTCTATAATTATGGTTCTGACTACAGTGATCTTTAAGAGTTCTCATTTTCATTATTAGGGACATTTTTAGTAATTAGCTTTTACATTTTAGTAATTAGCAGCTTTCTTCATCAATGACAAACATTGTGCTGAGTTTCCTTGGCAATTTCCTACAAAAGTCTGATTTTAAAAACTGGTCACAATTCCAATACTTTAGCAACTTAGGTGAATTATCACTGAATATAGCAGTTGCATCGTATTGCATTTATATTCTATTTGCATGTTTTTACAAGGGATTATTAGTTATATATATATTATATATACACACAATAAAATATGGATTATAATTAATATAGATGATAAAAAGACGTGGAAGGAGGGAACAGGATGTGCGGGGGAAGGTGGATTTGCTATTGATTCATCAACCACCTTCAGCATGATACTCCCCCAGTGGGGCCCTCAAGCCAACTAGCAAAGCCATGTCTTCAGCAGATCTCACCTCAGGGGGCAAGATGTTCCAAAGGGCAGAGGCCACGGCAGAGAAGGCTCTTTTCCTGGACCCCAGGAGCCGAAATTCCTTGACGGACAGGATCTGCAGTATGCTTCCTCTCCTGGTGTGGGTGAGACAACCCATTCCATTCGGATGAGATGGTTCCTCAGGTAAGCTTGACACATACCATTCCTCCATGAACCATGGGGAGAGTTGGGAGAGATGGGTCAAGAAAGGCCACACAGGTGCTATCCTGTCCATTGCTTCCAGATTGTTACTAAAGCTTTGGCAGGACCATGCAGCAAAATCTCTCCATCAGTTGTCAAGGGTGGTCTGTTTGAATATGTCTGTCCTCCCTATGGTGGGGAATGGCATAAGAGAATCTTGGGAACACCAGAACATGATCTGACCATGAGGGGGGGAGGAAATGTTAAATCCCCCAACAGTCTGTGTTGCATTACTGAGTGCATCACAGTAGCATAGATAACACAACTGCTGTGTGAACTGCATTGACTCATAGTAGGCTTCTGGGGCAATTCAAGATGGTGATTGTCATCTGTACAGTCTTATATGGCATGGATCAGTTTAATTGCAGAACAATCCTTCCCCAACAGTTTCTGCCCATTCCACCACATCAGACACCGTAGGTTTGCTCCCAAGTCCCATCCATAAGGCTTTGATACTTGGTGGATTCTAGAAAGCATGGCTTCCCTATCATGGAACATGTCTTGTGGACAGCCTTCCCATAAAATACAAAAAAACCCCTGACTCCTGCTAACTTTCTGTGAAGCCCTGACCATCTGGTTAGTCCTCCGGGCACAGGGGCTAAAGTGTTAATAAATCTCTGATGGGGGTGCAGGTATATTGCTATATTGCTTATGAAATTTCTTAGGGGCCTTGACATACTCTTATGTAAGAGATTATGAATTTGTCACATTTTTGTTTACCATACACTCTGTCTTGGTTGATGGGTGGCCATATGCTAAATAAATATGAGCAAATTTCCCCTGCTTCAGCTTTTGGAGTAACATAGTTCTGACATAAGGATATACAACTTGAAACACTCTGGAACTGATACATGAGACATTTATTTTATGTAGAAAAGTGGAATAGAAAAAGAAAAATACCTTTTAGTTTCCAATGGGCAAAAGACATGAAAAATACTAATTATCCTTATGAGAAATGCATATTTCAAGAGGCAGCATGTACTACATTTTAAAATCATTTTTACAAGGTGTCAGCAATTGAAATAAACCTATATGGCACAAGCAGCATTCCCTTGTGAGGCTTTATAAAACATGCTAATCTACCACATTGAAGCTGCAGCAGACATTTATGCTCAATGAGTACAGGGCGTTTTGTGGTCTCCGGGCTATTTACAAAGATTACCCCCATTTCTACTGAAGCTTCAATTATATTAAATTAGGTCACCAAAAGGCCACTAGAGCACATTTTCGTTTTGGAGCACATAGTGATCCCCTTTCATCCCATCAATTTGAAGCCAAAATAACAGAAAATTCAAGAGAGTAATTTGTCAAGGTTTACATGTGCCTAGTATAAAAGAAACTTCTGTATGGAACTATTAAAGAAATTATAACAGAAGATCCTGAGGCGTAATCATATATGGTTAGTTATAAATATTTGACTCTTATTACAACTAGGTTGCACTGAGAAGTAAAATTTATAATTGCATTTTCATCTTTTTGATGCTGAGATTTTGCATGAGGGAATATCAGAATTCTATAAATAATATAAATTTTATTTTGGAAAAGAGGCCAATCCACAGCTGTTATAACATTAGATCATAATTAACAAAAATATGCAATATGGGTACAATTTCAGCATAGCACTCCTTCACAGCATAGGATTAAGCAATTAATTTATCAATTCATAAAAAAATCCCTTTATTGGAAATCTGTTTATAGTTTCTATTATAAGTATTTGATTTGCCAGTAAATATGCAAATGACAAATATAAGCATTATATCAAGTCATTTTTACTTTTAATGATTACACATTTATAACTGCCTCCTCAGTTGCCACCCACAGCTGACCTTTGTCATCTTCTTTGCCTGCCTCTCTGGGCTCTCTGATGCCAGCTGGGCTCAAACCCTATGATACGGGGACTGGGTCAGCCATGCTGGGTAGGGCACCTCCTCCTCTAGGCATCTTGCAGTGTGGGAGACACTCAGCCAAATAGCCTCCAGGAATTGTCAACAGATGTCCTGGCCATGCATGGGAAAAACATAAATGAAATGTCCCTACCTCATCAGGAGTTTTGCCCTGGCTGGCAATGGCATGCAGCTGAGTGAATTTGCAATCCTGGCCCTTATCTTTCCCAACAGGATGGCAGAATCCAACTGCCTGCATTACCCAGTACTTGCCTCTGGTACTGACTCACCCACCCCCAGCTCACCCACTGGCATATTTGTCTGAGACTCCTGCCTCTTCCCACATTGTGGTCACATGAAGTCCTCATTTAACAAGCTGCATGGTCCTGAGTTTCTAATGGCAACCGGGGCTACTAAGTGTAGCTGCTAAGTGGTGTAGTGATATGACATTGCATTTTACAACCACATCGCTTAGGACAGATATTTTGGTTCCAATTGCTATCATAATCTGAGAATTACCAATAGCCTAGTTGTGAGGTGACCAGGCCATAGGTAATTCTCCAAAGGGCTTCCCAGTTGAGGAAGGGACACAAATAGTATTTGTTTTGCTCCCGATTGCTAATGCAAAGCAAGAGAGTGCTGATGAACATGATTGTTATTTTTATTTTTATAACAATGTTTATACATCATTTCTGTTTTAAGATACAGAACTTAAGTATATTTTGAGTGCAATTCATCAAATATTACTTCTGTGAAACCCAAATTTAAGATGAGCCACAATTAGACAAGGATGTTTGGGTAAAGTATCACAGGTTCTTTTGATATACCCAGGTCAGCAGGCTCCAAAACCCCAGAAAGCTAACATAACCCCACGCTCTAGGCAACCCACAAGTATTCACTGTCTACTATACCACTCTTCCCCAATTCTTCTACAATTTCTGTTCCTCTACTACTTCTTTTTGTTAGTCCTACTTCTGGAGAACAGTAACTTTTCTATTTGCCTTAGGTTGCTTCAGGCTGTTTTAGTTTCCCACAATAAGAAAAACCCACCATCCCTCTCACTCCAACATCACCACCTCACGTGTCTCTCTGCTTAGGTTTCACAGCCACCAGTTGCTGGGCTGGCTAGGGAGAGAGGTCTTAAAGGGACAGGGCACCAGCAACCCATGGGCTGCTCATTTTTGTGATAGGCAGCCTGTCCTATCACAAATAGCTGCCAAATACTGTATTTCAGAGTCATACTGATCCCTAAGAGTAACATGCTAAGTATGGGAAATTGTTATACAGTATTTAGTTAATGTGGCTATAAAAATTGTCTTTAGTTTAAATTATAACATACTTATTAGGATTCTAGTTTTTTTGAAAGGCATCCCCCCTTTCAAAATTACTAGAAAAACAAATAGCATTTTTGTATAAAATCATGGTTAAAAAATACTACTGAAACTTGGCTTGGTTAATTTGCTAACACCAAATGACAAGTCCAAGTTTTTAAAATGAGTGGCCAGAGGTATTTGCTTGAAATTTTAAAAAAGTAATATGCATAGTTAACAGCAATCTATCAACATAATAGAAATAATTTCAAATATGCAAAATCAACCAATGATGAAATGCGAGCACAGTTCAGGTTAGATGTTAAAGCACATAATTATTCAACTATGTTTATCCACATCTTGATGTAAAAAAAAGTGTAATGCAACTTTACTTATCTTATTTTCTTCAATCTTCAGACCTTAGCACAAAGCTGAGAGTTCTGAAAATTATTTTACAAAAACCCATTCTTAACATTGCTTAACAAAATCAACCACTTATTAGTCAAAAAGACAATTCTTACAATACATTGTAACAAAAGACAGATTACTCTCTTGACTGATCCTTTTGCATCTTCTATTCTTTTTGTACCAAGATTCCTTAGTGCTACATTTCATATAAATGACTTTTTCATTGTAATATTGCACAACCGTAGGAACCCAGTTCTTTAGGTATCCTACAGGGCCTTTTCCCCCTCTATACAGTTCAGCAAACCAATTAGTATGATATTTTTATCTCTAACCTGATTTGGAACTAATTACAAATCAGTACAGTTGATTTGTGTGCTAAATACTCCAATCAATTTATATTAGGCTAGTATATCTCACAAATAAATGGGAGCTCTTAACTAGAGACACAGTCATGCATTTTAAAAATAACATTTATTCACATAATTGGTTATGTTTATTTAAACTTAATTATAGTCATAGACCAGCATAAAGGGTGGGATTATAAAGTATGTGAAGTAAAAGAATACACTCACATGCATGGACACACACATTACAGAGAAGATAGATGCATAAGCAATATAGAAGGTATAAAAGTTATAAAAATGAGAATCTAAAAGGAATTATAGATGTATATGTATGTATGAAAGAATTCCTAGAATATAGAATATACATGCAATATAGAAGGTATAAATTACAAAAATTAGAATCTGAAAGGAGTATATGTATGTACATACGTATGTATGCATGAATGATATAAAAAGTATACACTACGTAATGGGTTCACGGGAAAGAATTTTGGGTCCTGTTAAGGCCAATTGGTGCTTTATATTGGCTATGTCTGTTTGATGAATGTTTTGGCCTGTTTGTATCCCATTCCAAGTAGAAGATCTGAAAAAAGGCCCATGGAGGAGATTTTGATTGCCACTGACAGTTTCCATGAATATTAGAATTCACTGCTCATACTGAGGCAAGGCCAAGGGGAAAGACAAGAAGTCTAACACAATAGTTGAATGTGACTTCTCACACTCTAGCCTTCACCTTCATAAAACCTATCTCTAGGTTGCAAGGGGTCATTAGAAACACAAATTAGAGACTTGAAAGGGTGTTCTTAGGAACTTGCATTATATGTATGGCAGTAAGAAAATGAGAAAGGGCTTAACTGGGTACCATAGAGAAACTGGGTTAATTAGCTTCAAATAATTTAAAGAGTTGCAGATATATAATAGTCACTTGTTAACCTTTAGGTAGTTAAGAATGGCAGATGACTGCTCTGTGCATTTTCAGCAATGTAGCAGAGTGAATGATTACCCCCAAGCCTTGAAATAGAAAACCTGCTCTATCCTGTAGCCATCTTGTTCCAGAAATAGTTCTTGGGCCTTTGGGCAAATGATTTTAGTTTGAGTTAGAGACAGTCCTTTTTGCAATATTCTGGTATGATTGTCAGTTTTAAGGCCAACAGGCATTACTGAAAATGTTGATGCATTATCTGCATGGAGTAGAACAGAAATGTGTCTTACAGCAAGTTTCGGGAAGTGAAAGTCCAGGTTGTAGAGATGGCCCTCCATGGAGTTAATATAAAGGTTAAATAGAAGTGGGCACCTTTCTCAATTTCAACAGCCTAGTGGGATGGCTCAGTACACACAGCGTAGTTGATATGTTCTATCTTGGTTTTCCAAGTTTAACTCAAGACAAAAATAAGTAAAATATATTGGAGGAGGGCAAAGAGATCAGCTCAGTATTAGTGAGAACTACTGAAAAACAAACTATGCTCAATCCATAAATTAATAAGGCAGTGCTAAAGTGAACATTTTTGTTTCTTTGACAAAATTGGTAATCTGTCCAATTCTGACTGAACAGTGTAAAATATAAGAAAAACACACAATAAAATGCAAAATAAACTAACCCAGTCCAATTATTTTTGAGGACTTTCCTATTACGATGTCTGTAATCAGTTTACATGAAACACACAATGGAACACAAATTGAGCCTGGAAATCTACTGATAGTCATTACAGTACTTTAAAACAGGTGTTATCCTGTCCTCTGCCAACTTCACCTTCTAGGTCAGTGATGGCTAATCTTTTTGCTGTTGCATGCCAAAAGTGTGGGAGGGTCACCTGCATGCATAATTCAATGCCCCCTGTGACCCGCCCCCCCGCGCATGACCCCCCCATGCTCTCTGTGCATGACGCCCTGTGCCCCACAACAGTATAGATCCATTTAAAATATAAAATCAGACATTAATCACCATGATTTCTATGAAAATTAGTATGCTTTCTCTCTTAATAATCTTGTTTCTTGGAAATGTTAACATTTAAAATATATTTATAGTAACACAGCTTAAACTCCCCTGCCACAATTTGGCACCAATATTATTAATATTTTCTAGGTACTGAATGGAAAGAAAATGCAAACATTCTCATTGCTATGTATCATACTAATAGGCTAAAAAACAAGGATACATCAAAATGTATTTAAGTACTTATATTAAATGAGTAAAATGGTATCTTTGACTTTTTATTTTTTAAAATAAATTTAAATGACTTTAAATTTTTAAATTGAAAATTATTTTATTAATCAATGTATTTAAAAAAAGAATTTTGCTAATATAATGGTAAATTTCTTTTTATTTTTAATTCATCACACATAATATTAAAGTATAATTTTCAAGTTATAATAGTGTGACTTTTATGTAGGAGAAAAATGTTTTACATACTTAAAAATTCTTACTATTATAGCAAATTGAAAAGATAAGCAGCTGATTCCAAAATAGATATGGATTTGTTACCTGGTTCTGTTTAATAACATAATAGATTATTTAAATGAACTCACTTTTTATTCTAGTGATAGAATTATAAAATACAGCATTGGTTTGTAACATAGCTAAAAATGTTAGCTGGCTTTGTATATGTCAGTACCATGGACAGCTCCTCTGTATTTCTCTTCCTGCTTTAAAAAGCATCATTTGAAGATAGTTCTGTACCAATATTTTTATTTCATTGTTTGTACCACAAAAGATTTACTCCCCTTACTTTTTTATGTGTAATCTAGTGCTATAGAGAATGGTTACATCTTTACAGTCACTGCATCCCCCAGAATAATGAACTCTTTTCTAAAAATAAGTACCATGGAATATTTAATTTTATAGCAAGAGCTCTGACTAACATGCGAAGCAGGCCTTGTGATAAGTGACAGAATAATGAGAAAGTATTATTATCTGACCTTTTCAGACACTGAAAAATAAAATGCACCTGAGAAATCTTTACAGTAGAACTCAACACTGTCTTTCTAAGTAATATAATTCTGCATTATGCTGATACTTGTCCTTTGAGATGGTCTGATTCCGTGCAGAAAATCAAATTAATTTTCTGTATTCTCTGCTGTGATTTACATACATGGTGCTATATTGAATCAGTATGGTATAAATTGAGCAGCGCTGAATATCATGAGCTTTTTGAATTCATGAAATAGCAATAAACTCTGGAGTTTTCAACCATAAGCAGTGATAGGCAACAATTTAAGCAAAACAGAAAAAGTGATCAGAAAAATTGATGGATAAATTTCTCAAGGGCAAGTATTAATGATGCCTAATTGTAACTTCCAAAATCAGTGAGAAAACTATTATTCTATCAGCTTCCCAAAGGCATTATTTAACAATTGTGCAAATATAATGCTAGGTAGATTTGGGCCAGCATGATTCATATGTTCTTATGAATGCTACCATTGGGCAAAAACTAATATTTCAATGTTAGAAAACAGAACCTAATACTTATTTCAAAAGACTTTCTGGAATGGAGACTTATTTCTCTTCTTTGAAACATAAATACTGGTTAGTATTAGAAGGCTTACTTCAAATTAAAGAAGTGTTGCTGCATTGCTATGTTTGGGATAAATATAGAGTATATGTTTAGTTAAGCACAAGCACAACCAATATATCACTATCACTATCACCATTCCATAACCACTACTACTTGTGATGAAGAGATATAATATTAACAGGTAGCGAGTCTGCAAAACTGCCAACACTATAACATAAAGACATTCATATTAAAAAAGAAATAAATTCTATTGTATTGGAAACAATACAAAATGTACTATAACTTCCCAAGTTATTGAAAATTTAGGTTCAGTCATAGCAGGAACATATTTAAGTAAAGAGAAACGCTGTAGAAATATTGCACTCTGCATTTTTGTACTGAACTCAACTGGACTGTATTCCAAATATAAATTATGCTAGGACATCATAGACTACGGAACTTCAGTGCATAAAGATTCAGAACAGGTTTCCACAGCAACCTCACTGAGCTCTGCACTCTTCATTCTGCTGCATTACATAAATACAGAACATATATGCTGAAGAGAATAAATCAATACATGTATATATCTAACAGACTTATGAAACAACTACTGGATAAGTATTACAGCATTCAGAATGGAAAAACAACTAAAGTATTTAATAACAATAAAATCATATTTTGTACAATCCATATGTTGTATCCATATGTTCTAAGGAATATATTTAATGAACATTCAATATGTTAAAATACAATATGCAATATTAAAACAGGACATGCTAAAGTGCATTGTAGATTTCAGCAATGGGTTAGGGAATAAGTATAAACTCATGTCCATGCATTTTCATGTCTAATGCTGTTATGAGACTTACTATTTTTAAAATGTAAACATCACAGAGAACTAACACTTTGAGATACAATTTTTATACTATGGTTGCAGTTATTTAATGTTGGGTTTATCTAAAATGGAAAAAAATAAAAAACAAGACTGACAAAAGTATTAGTGTGAATATTATTATATTTATAAGTCATCTGGAGTAACAGGATTCAGCTCAACAAGTTGAAATATCTTGTCATGCATAGGTTTAATTCCATGCAAACAGCAAGCCAAGAAAGCTCATTGTGATGAAAGGAATCATGTTTTTGAATAAAATCACTTTGATCATTTAATGCTCAAATAATCTAGAAAAGTAAGAGCAACAAAAAAACATAGGGAATAATGTCTGGGTACAATTACTCATTTTATATTTAGTAAAACCTCTCAGTTCTTTATTCTTTTATTTTTAGGGCCTGGGAAATTCAAGATTATCCTATTTCAGATTTCACTATCATGTAAAGGAGCTTGGTGGACAGTAAGATATCAGGTAATTCAATAATAGCTATGTACTTTTACACAATCTTAAAAATATACTACAATGAATCCCATTAAACTCAGAAAAGGTTGCTTCTAATAAATATACAAATGCTAAGGCTATAATGATGCTGCTTTATAGTGAACATTCTTACTGTTTCATTAAATTGTATATAGTTCTTTTTTACCTATAGTAAATAAGCTCAGAAGCTATCTGCAAATATCTGCTGACTGTTGCTATCCAACCAACAGGAACAGGTTTGAATGATGTCCTGATTTTTTTTCCTACTGAAAGACCATTGTATTGTTGTTATATTGTGCTAAATTGGAGATAACGAACCAGTAATTGGCTGTAGAGATGAAGGCCCAGGAAAAAGCTGCAAAGATATTATACCACTTAAATCTGACACCCATACCAAGTTTTTAAACCAAGATGGATAATAGTCTTTCATGCACAGTCTAGGAAAAGTATAATCTCTCCTAATGAAAAAAAATATACTATTTGACACTTCAATAAATTCATTTACATTACATTAACATTGAGAAGCATTTTACAATCTGTTATGTAGTGGGAGGAAAGCTTCCACACCTACTCTTTATGAGATCAGAACCATCCTCAAGAGCAAATGCTTCTAGTATCACCAATATACATTATTCCTAATGTTTACATAAGCCCTAATGTTATGTCCTTCTCATTTTTGGCTTTTCAACCTCATATTTTCCCCATTTATTAGAATTCTTTATATGTCTTCTTCATTGTGAAAGATTTTATTGTTGAAAAACAGGAAAGATGAAATATTATTGCTGAGCTAGTAGAAACATGATCCAATACTGCAAGTGAGCTGCTTGATGCAAGAGCAAGCCAATGATACTGGCAATAGTGATTTGGTACCAATGTTTAATATCTATTTGGGACAAATTATCAGCAGTGTTAGCTCTGGCTCTGTTACTATCTATTTGGGGTTGGGAAGATTAAATCCAGGCTGTTTCCAACAACTGTTCAATTCTAGAGAATCTCTGTATAAGAATCAGTGTTTGTAAGGATATCAAGCCAAATAATCATCTAATTATTGCTGCTCAAAATACAAAGAGTCTAAAAGGGATCTGGACATATGACTGTCTATTTATATTTTGTTATTAGAAGGCTACAGGATTATGATTATGATTTGGCAAAACATGAAGACTGCTTATTAAAGCAGTATTAAAGATGGCTGCATATTATTTCCCATAGTTTAGATACTGCATCAAAGACACTTGTCATTTATAACTTTGCCCAACCTGACAATCTCCAATAGTAATGGATATAATTCATGCCAGCAAGTTTGAGGAGCATATTAGATATTAGTTACATTTTTAGGATTTTGTAATAATTTTTATGGTTTTAAGATTTTGTAGCTTTATTGCTGTTATGAGTCACCCAGCGGTCTATGATAGGTGGTCATATAATTTTTTAAATAAATAAACAAAGAGCAAGTTTACATTAATGGTGTTATCACAATTATTAATTTTACAATTATTACTAATGAAACATCCTATCCGACAACCGATTGCTATTAAAGATCTTTTGGCCTCTACCTTTATATTAAAATACTCCATTCCTATTAAATGTCTCTGAGATATATGGATCAATAGGTGTAAATAATTTTGATGCATGTGGAATTACATTTAGAAATAATAACTGAATAGGCAGAACTTTTAGAATTTCAAGGCTGAAAGAATACTTACTTATTTTACCTTCCTACTAAATTCAATGAGAATTGTTCAAGTAAACATACATAGAATCAAATTTTGTGGAAGACATATTTCAACATAAAAATCCTTCAACTGTTATTCTGTTTTGGATTTTTATTTTATTCCCCTCAAGGTCTAATGCTACCACTACCAGCCGTCACTATTATGCCAGCAGACAGCAGTGATCTACTTCATTATAAGGAATTTACAGTGTATTAAGAGTTTTGTGAAGTGAAAGTGAGCTGCCTGATGCAAGAGCAAGCCAATGATACTGACAATTGTAGTACTTTCCCATACCTTTGCCTTTCTTGCATTATTTTTGTTAACAAGATTGAAGTTTATGGAATATGGAAAAAGTATTATGAGAAATAATTACTTATGGAATGGTTGGAGGAAGCAATTGGGGAAAAATCAAGATTTCTGATCTTTGCTAACTCTAAAATCTCTTCCAATAGAAAAGGGGGACATCGCAAGTGATGTGATTATTACTGAATTGTTTTTTCCACATGAGAACATAAAAGCAGAACATTCATTGAAAACAGGGATTAAAAGACAGCCCCCACCCCCGTTTATCTTACATGAAACAAAAACAAGATTGTTAGACCATAAGACTATATTTCTAGGTGCCATAGCCTTTATAATTCATCAATATTTGAAATGTATTCCTACATAAAAGAAATTATATGCTGCACCTAACAGAAATCACATTGTTATTCTTCTACTTGTTTTGTTTACTCTACATCTGGGTACATCACTGTCATTTCAATTTAGCACTATCATTCTCGTCACCTTTTTTCTGCATTATAAAATTTCACATATCATTATGGTTCAGATACGATTATTTTACTCATTTATTCCAAAGCCATTATATTTCAAATGTTAAACTCTATTATCAAGTCATGCTCATATTATCAATCAAAAGGTATTCCACTATTTACCAGCTATTTCATTAGGATACCACTTTAGAACTCCCATTGCATAACACTTTTTATATAGCATCATTATTTCAAGTTATATCTTGACATAATTTCAAGCCTATCTTTCAGTTTGTATGTGTACAGGTATATGTATTGTGATTCCATATGCAAGCTACCCTTGCACTGATTTGCCACTGTAGAGTTGATCACACTATTTAATTACATTCAGATATACAAGATCAGTCACCCTAATTCTGTTCTGCTGCAATCATTCTTCTGTCATCCTTTAGTTCAAGACCTATTTTAACCAATGATTATGAATTTTTGATTATATTTAATATTGTTCTATCAATATATTCACCTGCCTGGTAGTCCAGTTCATAAAAATACACTGTTGTTTATTCTCACATTTACAGACGTTCTGTTCAGACTCACTTTATTCTAAATGCCATAATTCATTCTAGAACTTTGGTTGAATAGTTTCAAAACGATTGTTTCCACTGCTATGATAGTCTAATCAGCAAGAAAAAAAGAATCATGAAATCCAACTCTGCACAACAGAGAAATTGAAATTAAAACAATCTCTCATTCAACCTGTTTTAATGCAAACAATAAAAGGAAACTCACCACGATCTTTGTAACTGATTATACTATTAAACTGTTCTTACTATTAAGAATGTTTTTGAAATATTCAATAACAAACTAGTTTTCAAAAACAAGACCATTATTCAATGTGTTCAACTCTGTGATGATTGTGAACTTGACTGATCTTCTATGTAACACCCTATTGGCTATCTAAAAATGTTAAATATGTGCCTACTTGTCTTTTATTAGGCCTATGTATATCTAATTCTCTCATCACTTCTTCTAGGAAATCCTTAGTGCTTTTTTTGGATAGTTTTTTCATCCCGCCTTTATTGTTTTTATAAATAATTCAAGGCAGAGAACATATTTAATATTCCTTCCTCCTATTTTCCCCACAAAACCTGTGAGGTCAGTAGAACTGAAAGTGACTGGACCAAAGTCACCGAGCTGAGTCATGCACAAGGGAGAACTGGACCTCTCAATCTCCTGGTTTCTAGTTTAGTGGCTTAACTATTAGACCAAACTTGTTTTTCTCCCTCTGTTCCAATTTCTCTGAATCTTTTATATTTCCTGGATGTGTGGTATATGTTTCTGTGTTATTGGCTGAATTTACCATTTAATTTTGTTTTCTGTTCTGAGTCATGCAGCATCTAAATCAAATAAAAAAGCAAGCAAGCAAGCACACAAGCAAGCAAATAAATATGGTGCCCCAGAACTGGTGACAGTATTCAAGATAGGACAGAATATAGTGGAATTATTATTTTGTATGTATTGGAAATTGTTCTATTGATGCAACCTAAAACTGAATACAGATAGTCCTTAACTTAGGACTACAGTTGAGCCCAAAATTCCCATTGCAAAGCGAGACAGTTAAGTGAGCTTTGCTACATTTTATGATCTTTCTTGCCACAATTAAGTGAATCATTGCAGTTGTTAACTTAGTAACACGGTTGTAAAGTGAATCTTTCTTCTCCATTGACTTTGCTTGTCAAACAGTTGCACAAGGTTACCATATGATCCTGGGACACTGCAACCATCACAAATATGAGCCAGTTGCCAAGCATCCAAATTTTGATCACATGACCAAGGGATGCAGCAACTGTTGTATGAAAAATGGTCATAAGTCACTTTTTTCAGGGTCGTTGAAACTTTGAATGATCACTAAATGGATGGTTGTAAGTTGAGGACTATGCCTTTTCAGAAGGACACGCTCCATGGCCAATTCCAATATTCTTTTCTCAAATACTATTACAAAACCAGGTATCTTCCATCACATACCACTGCATTCCACTTATTTTTCTAAGTACCGGTATTACTTAGCTCCTTACAGTTAAAGCCTTCCTATTCATGGTCCAGGTGTACCATGTGTACCTTAAATTTGGGGATGGGGAATATGGGAATTGTGGCATTTTCTTCTGATGTTTTCCAATGTATCCTTTTAGGGTGGGATAGAACATTTTTACGAAGTGTACTTTCAAGCCAATTTTTTTTTTTATGGCAGTAATCACCTTGTCCCAAGTGTGCTTTTTCAAGAGCCAACTGGACTTTTCAAATTGCCTCTTGAAAAAGCATCTTTGGGACAACCATGACCTGGATGACTGAGAATCTCCATAGACATTCAGTAATCATCTTGAAATCAAGATTCTTGATTTCACAGAGGCCATTTCTTTTCAGTTCTCTCATTTTATCGGCATACGTTCTCAAAACCCTATCGATTTCCGAAGGATTTTGGATTTAGCGGACCCCGCGCGCTCCAGTTTACCCGCTACCGTCGTTTGGGTAGGCAAAAGGAATGAACATCCGAAGAAAAATTCCCGCAAAGGGAGATCGCCTCCTCCCCCCCCCCCCCGCCAACCGTCCGCAACTCCCGCTCCTCGCCCACCTCAGCAGCAGGACGCAACCCAAACGCCGACCGAGATCGCGCGGGAAGGCCGGCAGCGGGAGCTTCCACGCATGCGCCTGGTTGCCAAGTGGGTGGGCGCGGGAGTCCTTCGGCAGGAGCGAGCGGGGGAGACAACAACAGTCGTTGTCGCGCCGCCACCGCCGCCGCCGAGGAAGCGTTTGAGGGCTGCCGTCCGTTCCTTCATCTCCCGTCACCACCGGCGAAGGAAGAGAGTCAGGCCGAGAAGCGGCGAGAGCGGGGCTGTCGTGGCTAGTGGATTAAAGGCGAGGAGCCGTCCTTTCCTCGGAGCCGTCCAGCCTCAGAGCCGTCCTGGGGGAGCGAGCGCTGCTGTGCTCTTCCTTCACCAGAGCAGCGGAATCCGCCGAGTCTCTCCGGGGACAAGGCTCGGCCGCTTCTGCGCCCGCCGTCGCCCTCTCTCACCCGCGCACTTGCTGGCCCGCGGAGACGGAGAAGACGTCGCCGCCGCCGATACAGCCGCGCTGCCCTGGGGGCTGTACGGAGCAGCGGCCCCGGGCTCGTCAGGAAAAGCCGCCTCCTCTGCTCGTCAATGAGCATCGCGGCTCAGGAGCTCCACTCCGGCAGGGGGGAGCCGGCTTCAGGAGCAGCCCCGGCGGCGGGGGGAGCAGCATGTGGATCCCAACGGAGGAGGAAAAATACGGCGTGGGTAGGTCCAGAGCCTCCTCCTGTCCTGAAGGACTGTGTGTGTGGGGGGGGGGAGGCGGCTTCGCCCCCACCTTTCTCCCCCTCCCCCCAGCAAAACGGCTGGCTCGCGGGCAGAGCGGCGGTTAGCGATCCCTGTTGCGCGCGCGCCCTCGCTCGCGCTCTGCCTCTGTCTTGCACGTCCGTGGCTCTCCCACGGACTTTTGTCAGAAAATGGCGTTTGGGGGTTGGGGGGGGGAGGATGCCGTTTTTGGAAAGGGGTGGTGGTGATGGAGATTTGAGGGATGCGGGGCCGCTGCTGCTTTAGTGGCGGCAGCGAGCGGCCTCCGCTTCCTTTTTTTTTTCGGAGAGGGGGTGGCAGGTGCAACGCTATGCCTCCCTCATCCCGCTGCAGCCCAAGAGCTTTCTCTCCCGTCTCCTCCCGATTGGGCTCCCTTGCTTTCTCATTGCAAGATGGCCTGCGAGAAGAGAATTCTCTTCAAAATTCTGCACCGATCGTGTAGGCAGTGCCCTCGAAGTGGAAGATGGACGGTGTTCGCTCGTGCAGAAATCCAGTTAGCCTCTCTCATCTAGGGCTAGGGAGTTATAAAGGATTAGTGTTGCGTTTAAAGAAAGTGTCCTTGTTGAGGTGATCAAAAATGGGTTCCCGAAGTCCGCGTGTAAAACTAACCCGATGAGATCAATAGAAAACCCGGTCTCATCTTTTAACCTACTTATTTATGGTGCGCCTTTCTTTTTGATCAGCCTCCACGACGATCTTGTTGTGATTAAAAATAAGGAATTGTGGTTGAAGCGTCGTTAGGGGGCGCCAGTTATGTATCTGCTCAGTTAATTATTCCAAGAGTGGTAACCAAAAGCAAACTTCATTAACTGGCAGTTTTTGTACTCTGAGCAAGGATGCTAATGATTTGTCCCCTCCATATGAACATATCTATATGACATAGAAAATATAATGAATATTGTGGGCATGTCTTGTCTTCTACCTATTTTGACCAATTTAAAATATTTTTAAATGTATTGCTATTTTTGTTTATTTTTTAAAATAACGTCAGTATATTTTAGGCTTGCATGCTTTTTTTTAATGTAAAATTTTGAAAGGAGATAATGTTACTATCATAAAAGTAATTTTACAAAAATGGGATTGCATCATAGCTTTGCTATAATGAAGCTGATGATTTTATAAATAAGAAACTGAAACGAAATAGCGTATGTAATCTTAGAATTACATACACTACAGTTCTAACATACTTAGAATGTTGAACTTTCCTCTATTTTTCATTTGTTTCTTAATATTTAACGAACTGCCTGTGATAAAATTTTCTATATTGATATTTTCATAATGATCAATCACTCATTCTGTTTTAACCAATGAATATTTGTTCATGTGTAATACAGTTTTTATATTTAACCTTCATTTAAAATAAGAATTTTTATAAAGGAATAACATGAAGGAGAAAGCAGTGTTTTTAAGTCAACTATTCAACTTTAAAAAGAGGCATCCAAATATTTCTGGAAAACATAATCATAGCACAAATATGTAATACGGCAATATGAAATAAATTATGTAATAACCTGTTCGTAAAAATAGTTATTGGCAGGGTTAACATTAACCCACCCACCCCAGCAATACTAATAGTCAGAGAGCTTTAAATTTGCATTGTTGCATAAGATATTTAAAAACTATTTAAGAGTCCATTTCCAATGCTACAAGCAGTCCCCCCCAAAAATCAGACTAATCATGATATTGGTTGTTTGGCTATACAAGCCTTTTTAAATAATTGAATAATTAATTATCAAAACCTTTGATAATCCCAAAGGTGCTTTTTCAAGAGAGCTGAAGAAGCTTCTTGAATGAAAAGCGAAACGTCTTCAAAGAAAAACCAGAAAGTCCAGTTGCTGTGTTCAAAAGTTCTAGGAACATATATATGAATTCCAATGACTCTCTGTCTACTCAGATTCCTCTAACTAATTGGTTCAGATTGAAGGAGCTGCTTGGATGAGCAGCTAAATGTCTCAAACCAACAACAAAGTTCAGTTTCCATGACTCAACTTCCAGACTACTAGAAACTTTCTCAGATATTGGCCACTATGGCAAAACTAACAAAATGCTCTGGCTGAACAGAATCGTAACAAAGTATACTAATGTTTATTTAAAATCTCCTATCATTCTCAAATAATCATTAGAAATAATTGATTTGGAAATTATTAGAGGTTGTTAGAGGCAGTCTCCAGAATTCTAATCACAAAAGAATTGCTTTTGCTGACAAATTTTATACCTTGTAAGCAATCCCCACTGCTGCCTCCAGAGATGCTTAGTGTAGGTATGGGTTGGAAGATTCCTATTAATGAGGATTAAGTGCCTAGCAGGTATTGAGTGCCTAACTAAGACAAAAAAGATAAATCATTTAATTAAAGTTAGAACAGAAAGTTTGTTATTTTACAACTTGCAAAAGTGAATAGGATGCGCTAGCTTCTCTAAGCAGCCTGTCTTTCAGGTGTTAATTAAAAAATAGGGGTCAATAACAGAACACTCAGTTACACAGTAGGTCGAGTCACATACGTTTGCAAGTCTGTTATTGCTTAAGAATTAAAGTGTAGAAGCAGCATATGTTTAATCTTTAAAATATTGTCCACAGTATTAAAATATTATGCATAGTTAACATAATATTTTAAATATGTTAAATTAACTTAGTAAGCATATTAATTATTTAACAGCTTTCTCCTAAAATTGTCAAAGGATTATGTACAGTTAATAAACAACAAAGCAACAAAAATATAACAATAATCCTATTCTAAAAATTACATCAGAATTTTTAATAGAAATCCTATTTCTATTAAACTAACCACAGTAATTAAAATAAATATAATTTAAATATATTAAATAAAATGTGCCTTTAACACATTATAGCTAAACTAAAAAAAAATGGGAACCCCATCTGAAGAGAGTGCATTTCAGAATTTGGGTTTGATGAAAGAAAGTCCTTTCTGATATGCTAATTAATTGGCCATTGGCAATGGAAGTATCTTTAAGAATGTCTTTCTTGCAAATCCTAATAGCCTGGCAAGTTTAGAATGAAAGAGATAGATTTTTAGATTCTAGTGCACTTAGAGCTTTCAAGATTAACATATTTCTCCAGGCATGTTGCTTTACTGTGAAATACCGGTAATTCAGAATCTACACTTGATCTGAGAGCCAAGTTATGTTCATGCAAAGTTTAGCCCAGAAATGTTTACTGTTTTTGCTGTCAATCTCTATTTCACATATATTTGCCACTTGCCTAAACTGATTTCTTTGTCGTATACAATAGATGCCTTAGGTTAGGTACATCTTTCCTGATCTTTAGATTGGTGTAACATACATAAAAAAATGAAAAACAAAAATAATACATCCTGTTCAATTCAAATGGAACTTGACTTGTCCAGAATTGGTAAAGACATTCTAGATGCCAAAATACATTTAAGCATAAGGGCTACTTGAAAGTTTACTTGTTCAATATTATATATTTAATATACTTATACCCTCCCAAATTATCTCAAATCCAAACAGCAATACATTATATTAAAATGAAATTAGTAATATAGGTGTCATTGCTTAATAACCTTGTTCAGAAACATTCAAAATTATGACAGCACTTTATGAATGGTACTTACAATGAGTCCTCAAATTTCTGGTCATCGTCCCACAGTCATTTGATCACAATTTGGGAATTTGGCAACTAGCTTGCAATTACAATGTCATAACATCCCCATGGTCATGTGATTACTACTTGTAACATTCCCTTCCAGCTTCTGACAAGCAAAGTCAGTGGGGACCTGGCAGGAGGTTGCAAATGATGACCATGTAAAATTGTTGATCTGATGTTATTCCACAATGTCATGGGATTTGCTTAATGATGGCAACCAGAAGTGCTGTTGCTAAGTGGCATAGTCGTGTGAAGTCTACATGACTTTATAACTACATCACTTAGCAACGGAAATTCTAGTCCCAATTACTGTTATTAACTGAGGACTATTTATACTAAATGCAGATAGTTTTTGGTTAGATTAATTATTTTTATTTATTTAATAAAATAAAAATAGATTAATTAAAATGGTGGGGGACAGTCTTCTAATATTCATATTGGAAGGCCTATGTGAACAGTAAGCTTTCAAAAGAAGCTCAGACGAGGTTATAGCAGATGTTCCCAAATTTAATGGGGAAAGAATGCCAGAACATTTGAAATAATCATGGGGAAAGTTCATCTTCAAGCAGCTGCAAGATGATACTAGCTATTCCCAGTATACATAGCAGGACCTCTCCTAATAAACACTGTGATTAGATCTGTAATAGAGAAGACATTCTGAAGGTATCATTGTCCCAAATTGTTTGAGGCCTTTCTAATTGTAAAATATGTTTTTATAAAGAACGAGGGAAAACCCACATATGAATGCAAACTTAAATAGCAAAAACGAAAGGCTCTTTCCTTACAAAAGAATAGATCACAGAAATGTTACAACTAAGTGACAATTACTACAAAGTAAACTTCAGCCAGATGATGTGTTCTTTAGTCTTTTCTTTACACCAATAAAAAACCAATCAAAGTTGACACACCTTATGAAGCCAGCTTTTGATACTTGATACATGAATATCTTTCTAGGAATGCATGATAGTCGTTTTAGAAATAATTGAGGCATGGTAGATGAATTTTTTTCCTTAGATACATTTTAAATATTTGGAATATAGTTGCCCAACACATTAACATATTTAAATCTTAACTTCATTTTAAGAACCTCATTTGTATAACTAGAATACTTATCCAATAGACACCAAAAGGCATGATCAAACACGTTGACCAGCATACCAAATTTATTTTATATGCAAAAGAAAATTCTTTTTAACTCTGTTGATGTGTTTATTAAACCTATTTTAAAAATAAGTTCAGTCTCATTGTAAGTTCACAATAAATTTATTTATCATTTGTTAAAAAGACAGGGACTTTGATCTGGCAAAATAGGCAAACCCAA